GTGTGTGTGTGTGTGTGTGTGTGTGTGTAGGTGAGCGTGAGGGTCTCTGGCTGCATGTGGATGCGGCGTACGCTGGTTCTGCTCTGCTGTGTCCTGAACTGCGTTATTTTCTCAACGGAATTGAGTTTGCCGATTCATTCGTCTTCAACCCATCCAAGTGGATGATGGTCCATTTCGACTGTACGGCGTTCTGGTGAGAGACACATGCATCCTGTTTTTTTCCTGTTTCCTCATATTTTCCTGTTGCAATAAAATCAGTAATATTGTGAAATATTATTGCAATGTAAAACAGCTGTTTTCTATGTGAATATCTGTTAAACTGTAATGTATTTGTGATCAAAGCTGAATTTTCAGCATCATTACTCCAGTATTCAGTGTCACATAGAAATGTTTTGTAACATTATAAATGTCTTTATTGTCACTTTTGATCATTTTAATGCATCCTTGAGGAATCAAAGTGTTCATTTCTTTCCGAGCGTAAATGAATCTCATGTGAGTTCAGCGTTTGTAAAACCTCTGTTTGAACCGCAGGGTGAAGAATAAGATGAAGCTCCAGCAGACGTTCACCGTCGACCCGCTTTACCTGAGACACGAGAACTCAGACGCCACTGACTTCATGGTAGAGTCCCGTTACGCTCGTTAGAATGTGTTTATCTGTTTGTCTCCCTGCTGTGTATTGATTAGCGCTCATCTCCCGCAGCACTGGCAGATCTCTCTGAGCCGCCGCTTTCGCTCTCTGAAGCTGTGGTTTGTGATGCGCTCCTTCGGTCTGAAGAACCTGCAGGATCACATTCGACACGTGAGACGCGCCATTATGCTCTAGTCTAGTCATATAATCATTCAGAACCTTTACAAATCCTCAGAAATGAACATGATGAGAAAATTATTTCTTAAATCATTGTAAGGCCTCAATTCAACAAGTCCGTTTACGTTCGATCGGTTTCACGAACAGTCAAAGCTAATGCTGCCGTTTCCTGTCTGTGATGATGCGTTTCCTGTGATGTCAGAGCGTGGAGATGGCGAAGCTGTTCGAGTCTCTGGTCAGAAACGACACAAACTTCCAGATCCCAGCGCAGCGGCACCTCGGCCTGGTCGTCTTCTGCTTACGAGTGAGTCATCTAATGCCACCATACTCGCAGGAAAGCCTCACAATCACATGTTTATTGATCATGTGTCTTATAGAGACTCCTGCGCTGATATGAGATGGTGACACACACTGTTTGTCATGTTTCTGAATGATAGCTTATTCATGAGCCGTGGTATTTGAAGAGTGATGTTCTTAGTGTTTCCGTCTTGTTTTCCAGTGCAAATATTGAAAAGATGCATTTACTTCAGACGCACGGTAACATGAGATGTCTGGTTTATTTCAAAGTGAAAGCTAGTTGATTTTTCTGAGCCCATTGGTAGATATTT